TTAGGAATGAGTTTGCGTGATAGGAACTAAGTCCACCAAGTGTGTGGGTGAGGGTGTATCTCAGTTGTGGGGAAAAGCCTGTATAGATTCATGAAGGGTGGATTTGTAAGCATGTGACTATAACAAATATAGATTTAGCTTTTAGACAGTAAACAGTAAATACCTAAGTTGTTTGTACAATCATTAGCTTAATTTGATGATCCGTTGTTTTTGTCACAGTATATGCTTTCTGTATCGTTTTCAACTTCTTTCCTCCTATGATAATCTGATTGGTCTTTCAGGGTAGTGATGTATATGATGAATCAGATGGTGAGATTGATGATGACTTACTTGAAGTGAAAGATGGTAAGTTGTAAGTTGTGATAGTTTCTTAGATCAGGAGAATTGTTCTCATGTTGTTGCATGATTTTGTGTGTTGCAGTACTTTACAGATAAAGATGTACTTTTTAAAATGTAAAGGTACTTACCCACTGGCTCTATGTTATTAAAGAGTGTCATGATATATAGAAACTGTAAGGTAAGAGATATATGTTATGATTGAAGTCATGATAAATTTTGTGAAGCTGTTTCTGTACTGCTGTGTGTGTAAAAAAGTGAGTCAAAACTGATTTTCTTCAGTGGGAAAGATTGTGATCATTTTGTTATTCTTGCTGGCAGGCAGATAATTGTTATTCTTACTTAGGAACCATATCATTTGCATTTGTTGCTCAAGTAGCAAATTGTATTAGTTGAAATATCTTTAATAAAATCTTCTCTCATGTGACAAAAGAATTACTTTGTTCTGAGAAGTCTGTGTTTCAAATATCCTTGAACTTCAACTCTGAAGTGAAAAGTTTGTGCAGATTCACATATTATTTCTGTTGTTTGGGTTCCTTTATTCTGCCCCTGTCTGATGGCTGGCAGTGTTAAATCATATATAGCTCTTCCAAAATGAAGATGTGTTAGTGAGAGATCTGCTTTGGATGAAGTAGCATGACTGTTGCAATCGTTACTGAGGAAAAGCTGTCCATTTTATTTAGCATGAATAGCTGAAATTAGGAAAATGTTTGGTGTCATTATTTTTACACTTAAAGTTTTGTGCGAAGGATGTAGTTTCTGAATCCAAACTCACACACTTGCTTACTATTTGCAGAGCCTTTAGAAGTTGATGATTGGGGAGACAATGATGATGGTGATGAAGACATTGTTGAGGGTGATGATAATGATGATGGAGATGAAGGGAACGATCCCTTGCATGTTGATGATGACTCAACCGATATGCCACGAGAAACCTCTAATTATAGCCAGGTGAGTAGAGATGATTATTTTTTTCTGTTATTCTACCGTCTCTTCTTAACCTTAACCGTAACAAGATATTGAAAATCCCTTTTTATCATTCTTTACTTTTAGGGAGAAGTAAAATATTGATGTATTTGTGCTTCAGTGAATTTGTATCATTTGTGTCATTGTTATTATTATTATTATTATTATTATTTCACATTATCAAGGTCTTTTTGAAAATCCAACTGATTAATTTATTTTCAATATTTATTGTGGGGAGGATTATTAACAAAAACAAAAGTGAACATTGGAATAAAATATGATATGTTCTATATATGTATTCATGTGAAGAAAGCATTGAGGATTATGCAGCAAGTACTTCTCATATCATTTCATGGTAATTTGATGGTGCTTTTTATGTTGATATTGTACAAGTTTTGCTGCTATATTTGTAAGAAAAAGGTTAACATTGTGAGTTTTAGGGTATGTGTTTTTTGCTTAAAAAAGTGTAATTTTGAAGAGCATTCAGATATCTCAAACAGACTAATATCAGCAATGAAAATTATAGGTTTGGGACAGCACTTCCATTTAATATTTATCATGGTATGTAATATGATTTGTGTAGAAAATTAGCTGATACACTAAAATACTCATTACAGGCTCAGTCTCTGTACCTGTCTGAGAAACAAGGGAAAAAGAACATCATGCTGAAGGACGGCCAGGTTGTGCAGAGGAAGAAAGCCCAGCGCAAGGATAAAGGAGTAAGTTATGTTTCTTCTCTAGCATCTGAGAATTTCAAGGATATGCAATAAGAACTGACATGCTTGTTTATCTTTGATTTATAGCGAAGGAATAAACTTTTATGTATTGCTGTAGATTTTGAAACCTGTCTCATATTTATTGGAACTGATGTATATAAGGATGCTTAGGAATCTTAACATTAGTATAAGATGGAAAAGTTCTTTATCTCTTTGGGTTTCAAGAAATCTAAAATAAAGAACTGAAATGAATTAGAATATATGGCTATATCTGATTGTTTCTAAAAGAAGAATAGAGGCTATCTTTCATGGCATTGAATAAAAATATTGAAGATTGATGCTTTGTAAGGATTATAGGTTATCTATCTGCAAAATCCAAACTTCCAAACAAGCTTTGTGTCCTTCTACATGGAAGGTTATTGTTAGTTTTCCTTTTTTCATCTGTTGAAATCTTTTTACCTTTATCTTGACTGTTGTCTATCTATTATTGGTTTTATGTGAAAGAGTTGTAATTTATGTATGAATAGGTAGATTACTAGATTGAAAAGATAATTAATGATATCAATTTTTCAGAAATCAAGATTCACAGCCTATATGTTGTGGGCCAGAGAAATCAGACCTGGCATTATACAAGCAAACCCCAACATGGGTAAGTAAAGCATATGCATATTGATATAGGTTTTCTCTGGTCATTTCATTCTTCAATTAATATTCTTCATTGAATTTAGAGAGTGGTTGAATTAACACCTTCCAACGGGTCACGCCTATAGGTGTGAAAAGAAATCGCTCGAAATGTGGCGTGTGGCTGTACACTGCTGCGGTATGCCAAAGTGTGGCAAGCCGGTGATTCGAACTCCCGTGCTCAAAGTCGGTGTGCTGTCATTGTCATTGATTTTTTTTAGGGGATAAGATCAGAAATCTTAATTATGTTTACAGTTTTACAGCCAATTAGTAAGAAAGACAGATGATGTATAGATTTTTTTGAAGTGGCTCTCCAAGACTTTCAAAGAGCCTTTTTAACACACCAAATGCATGTTCAGCTGTGTTTCTCTTTTTTACATGTACCATGTAGTACCCATTCTCTTTGAGATTTGCTGGAGAGAATTGGAGTTGGCGAGTATTTTCAACAAGGATAGCCACCGCCCGCTAAAAGATAACCAGCATGGTGTCCTTGCTGTAGTACTTGACATATCCTTGAGTTATCAAAAATCCTGATGTCATTTACACTTCCAGGTCAACTGGCAGTGATATTTGTGAACTTTAGGTCAGAATCAAATATACCTTGCATATTGATCAAAAAGTATCCCTCAGCTTTATTTCCTCCCAGACTGCAGACTGACACATGGTTACAGTCAGTGCATCTAATAT